TGTGAAAACTTTTTACTTTCTCGTATATGTACGTATATATGGAGTAATATACCCAGAATAGGGAAAGTTATGTAATGTTGCGGAAAATCCAATTCGACATTTCAACGGAAATACGCATTTTGGGGTCCCCTGATACCGAAAAAATGTGTTTTTGATCAAAACGCCCGTCCGTCCGTCTGTCTGGTGTTTGTGAACAACTCTAGCGAATAAACCATGCGAAGGATATTTTCCAAATTGAAGAAACCTCTGTTCATTTGGCCTGAGTCGAAACTGCGATTTTGAAAATCATGCATTAGGTTTTGGGAGTACTTCACGTGAAGTCCCTGGGGCATTTTCAAAATTTTCTCAAAAATGGCTCCAATTTTTTTCTTTAAATGTCGTATAAGAATAGACTAAAATGCACTTACAAATGTGTCTGATTTTCACGGTTAACACTAAATCTTCAAAAATTTCTAAAGTTTGAATTTTTTTGGGGACTTCCCACAACAAAATTAAAGATACAGATTTGTTCTTCAAATAAAATTTGCTGTCCATAATTTGTTCCTTCATTAACGTCACGTACAATTTTTGAAAACTTAAGTAATTTTCTCCCAATATTGCGTGCAATGTGTGCAATTTTAAAGAATTACAAAAATAAGATTTTCCCAAAAACTACTCCAATTTTTTTTCTTTAAACTTTTGCTAGGGATTGTACTAAATGCACTCTACAAGATGGTATAAACTCCACATTGCTCTATTTTTTCTTCAAAAATTACAAAATTCTGATTTTTTGACTTGCCTCTAATTTAGTTAATACTTATATTAGAGGCAATTGGTTCACATTATTGAATTTATGAGTATATGTGCTTTAAATAATTTCAGATAAAGTTTCTCGAAATCTTTACCGTTTTCTGTGAAGACTAGCTCAAAAATTCGCATTTTTAGAAACGCTCAAACGCCATTTTCTCAAAAACAGCTCCAAATTTTTTCTTCAAACATTTCGCTTTACAGTCTTCAATATAATATGGTAGTTACACTCTTTAATATGATGGAAAGTTAATTTCGGTGTATTTTTATATTTTCAAAAATTACACAAATATAAATTTTTTGAAAGATCTCTCAGGTCGTTGATATGCACATTTCCAGCAATTTCTAAATACGGTTGAATTTGTGAGTTTAAATTTATTTAAATTATTTGAAATTAAGTTTTTTGAAAACTCAAACATTCTCAAAGAGCTTCAAATTTCAAATTTACAGTAGCGCTTAAACGCCAGTTTTTTAAAAACCGTTCCAAATTTTTCAATAAAAATTGCCATTTAGGACGGGTTTTTACTGTTATTTAATATTCTTAAAATAATAAGTCCGCTCTACAACTAGGAAACCGAAAAATTAAGATATTGTAAAAAAATGTACTTTGGGAGGTGACAGAAGGCAGCAGGCTAGAATATGTGGCAAGTTCGAATAGCTAACCGAGATCAAAGGAAATAGAAAACTAATATACGAAAGTTTGCATTACTCGGGCAATTTTTCTTGAACGATGACCTTGCTTCCCCCTCTCTGACACAGTAAACAGTTGAAGACAAAAGCTCGCAGCGAGCACTGATGACAACATTTCAAACACATCCTCACTGGCGCAAAATAGAAACTATTTTCTGTTGAAGACGAGAACTTCTGTCCATATTTATCTTCAAAAAATAAAAATAAATTACCGAAGCAGGTAAAGATACATCACAGGAGATACCTCGAACTCCTGAGAAAGTTAGAACGCCAATTATTGAGAACGTTACGAAGGCGTGACTGATTCTCCAGAGATTGGCATTGCTTCATGAAATCTAGTGGCTGATTACGAAACTAATACCCCCACTCTAACCGCATTTCTTCAATCCATCGTTCAAGAAAAGTTGCGCGAGAAATACCATTTTGTAACACTACTAGTTCTTTATGAAATGGATATTATGAGGCTAGTCATCCACATCAAATACAAGTCAATCAAATTTAGTATTGGTTAGATAACTTTATCTATTTCATTAACATGACCGAAGTCTTTCTAAATAGTTTGCAAATCAATAAATTACAACAGAATGTTACAAATAACACAGACATCTTTTGTGGAGTTCTTTTGTTTTTATGATGTGTTTTGTGAGTTATAAAATACGATTAGTTGCTAACCAATGATTCCGAATATCAGTAAGATATCAACCACACTGGAATGAAAGGGCTATGTAACATTGGCACACATTCGCAACACACACACGTAAGGGAAGTATTTTGGAAGATGAGCATTCCAATCATTTGGCATATATATTTCTACAATCACGTAAAATATGACACTTCAGTAAAATTTACATTTTGAATGGACACCATGTCTCTGAGATGCTTTCAAAAATCTCTTAAAGATCACAATATGTTATGTCATTCAAAAAGCTGTACTAAAATATGTTTCACATCAGCGTTTACATTCCCCATGTTTGAATGCATTTTGCTAGAAACAAGTGAAGAGTTAAGACTCTCTGACAAAAGAAAAACAACAAAACAAAAGAGTATAAATCAACAGAATAACCAATAAGTTTTATTATTTCTGAAATGCGAACATGGAACGTTATGATTGCTGCATACGGTTTATTATTTAAATAATAATCAAAACCTGGATGTAATTAAAATGAGGCGGGCCGGCTGCTTAGCCCGGAAATTATTGTCACTTTTGAGGACGTTTGCCTCAGCACTCGTACATCAAGCAGCCGTCTCTCACTCACCGGGGCATATGACACACTACACACATCCAGCAGCCCCACTTCATGTATACATTATTGTGCACGCACTTCTACTGCGAACGAGCCTAATACCCGAAACACAGTTCTCTTCGACACGTTTTTTTCTCATTTTCTCACTCTTTCTTATATAAATAGCGACCGCACGGCAGTCATACAAACTTTCACAGGAAATTAAACATGCTGGAAGCTGGCTTGCTTACTTACTGATTTACTTAAATATTCAATATTGTCTGTAGAAACAAAATTATAGTAGTAATACAATATTTGAATGTACTTTTTGGCTACGAATGCACTCTCGTATAAAAGGGCCTCCAGGCATCCCAAATGCTGCGTGCTTCTAAATAATAACCAGCACAGAACAGCAAAACATAGCCACGACTCGAGAAAATTAGTCAACGCTAGAATTTACACAGCATAACACGAACGATTTGTCATGAGAGATGCTTAAACATATGACCTGCAATTAGAGAGCAACGGGTATTAGAGTGTATTGTCGTTAAGTAAAATACGAATGCACACTTTGCATTAGAGTACGGATTGTCATCGAACACAAGTAACCGTTATTCTATGTCAAAAGCTACTTCACACCCCGTGTTACCACGCAGCCATTCAGATGTCACGTATTTCCCTTCTGATCTATCACAAGAATAGTTCGCTTGTGTAAAAATACTTTATCATTTTATCACTTCTTAACCAGTCATCAAAATTACAAATATGGTGAAAATAGGGAGAGGAGCAACAAAACAGCGTTTTAGGTGTAGTAAACGCGCCCAATGAAAATAAATACAAAAACGCATTTCACTTCGGTTGTGTGCGTTGAAATTTTTTCATTGCTTAAGTTTCCCAACTGACGTAATCGAAAACAAAAATAAAAATATTACGTACACTTGATTTCAGATTTCGTTTGTAACTCAAATGATTTGCAGCCACGAGAAAGTAAAAGAATAACACTTCAAGAAGGAAAGCATTATAATTGAAGATTAATACCGGTACTATTTTTTCTTATAAAATAAATATAGTTAATGTTTCATAATATCATTAACAAATTTCACGAAAACAAATTAAACGGACTGGTATTAAAGTAAAATATGGAATTAGAAAATATAATACGAAGAACATATATTGAATTTGACTGTTTTTAAATAACTATATTGACATCGAAAAGATATTTAAATGTATTTATCTTAATATTATCATATCAAAATATATTTAATACGTTTTGCTATGGATATAAGTCTTCATTTACGGATGGATTACTCTACTTCGATCAAGAAGACTACGAGTGACAAATACAGAAATTTTGGGAAGAAAATGGTAGGAAAGTGATGAAAGCACTATATAAAATAGCTAAGTAAAGATAAATTAGTTAGATTGCAAAAATACTTCTAGAACAGTACATCCTTCTACAAACCCACGTCTACTACGTTTAATATCATCCCAAGCATACAAACAACTACACCTCTCAAAATGTATTTCCCATCCGATACACTGTACAAGAGCCCAGTACGTTAAACTAGCGTTCCTCACCCCTTCGTACGAGTAGGTACCAAGATGCCGTCCGTGGGCTATGCGTGGCGTGCGTGGCTGCGGCGGGGCGGGTGGCCGGCGGCGCCTGGAGGCCCTGGCATACGCGCGGCGCGGGCACGGGCGCGAGCGCGGGCGGGGGCGGGGCCGCGAGCGGAGGCGGCGGCGGCGCGCCGCTTCACAGTTGAGCCACGGGGGCGTCGGGCGGGTCGGGCGGCGCCGCCACCCGCCGCCCCGCGGCCCGGCCGACCTGTTGACTAGTGTGCTGCTGCTGCTGCAGGCGGGCGCGGCTGCGAGTCGCGGCGGCGGTGGACGGTGACCTCGCCCGGCGGACGCGGAGGGCGCGAACGGCGCGGGGCTGGGCGCGGAGTGACGAAGCGCGCGGACGATGTGGTGTGCGCGGCGTGGCCGTGCAGATGGCGCTTAAAAATGCGGCGCGGCGGCGACAGCTGCGGGGGCGGGTGCACCGCCGGAGGGCTGCCGCGCCGGTGCGACGTGAGCGTGACGGGCGCCGGCTCTGCCGTCGTCGACTAGCGTTACGTCGCACACGCTCGTCTCTCGCTGCCGGAGGATGTGGCGAGGAAGCGCAACGGTGAGCGGCCCGGGGCTGCCGGGCCCGCCGCCCGCGCCCACCCGCCGGCCCGCCGGTCCGGGCGCCGCCGCCGTCGCCGCCGCCGCCTAGCGAGAAGACGGACGCCGGCTCCAGCAGGCAGCAGTCCTCACTGCCAGCGACGGCGCTCTGGCGCGCGGTGAGGCGCGGCTTGACGCGGCCGCGCACTTGGCCGCGGCCGGTCGCCGCGCCAGCCGCCGCGCGCCCCCGCTCGCGCCAATCACGCGCGCCGCCGCCGCCTGCTGCACCGACACCTGCCCCAGCGGCCCCGTCAGCGGCGCGCGCTCCGCCGCCAGCACCTACGAACAAAGAATCAGTTGTCTTCCTTCTGGGTCGGTGACCAAGCTAATCTTGAGAAAGGATACGGAAATAGGGTCTGTTCCGTAATTATTTGGGGGTCGGGTTTTAATGAAACTTCACTGTTTTCTTTGCACTATAAAATGATGCTTTTACGTGTATTTCACTAATTTTTTGTTATGACGAACGAAAATTATTGAATTTTAAAGGTATTATTTTTGCATTTTGTCGATTGCACTAATAAGTCATTTTTTACATTTTCCCGTAATTTTTAAAGCATTTTCACAAATTTTATCGGTTTTAATATAAGTTTAATCATACTTTCGTAAAATAATATTTACGAGACGCAACAAATGTTCCCCACAGAATTCCTTAGTAGCCTACTCCATTTCGTCACTCAGAAATTTGAATGTCAGTCGTTGTGAGTACGTAATGTAAAGTTCCTGTGACGCAATTGTAGGTTCGGCCGATTTCATAATAACCAAAAAAAGAGATGAGTTCACATGAACGAAATTATGAAACCTTGTATGATTCCCACAGTCAATAATGTAAATCATCAATGTATCCCACTGTTTGAGTTGCTCATCTGAACTGATTTCGATTAATTTTTGTAACGTATTTGTGTAAGAGTTTTACTGATCATTTTTGGCGATGTTTGAGGTCATCAAAATCAGCCTCCAAGTAATTTTCATCCACATTGTGATATTGGTACTATGAAACAACAGTTCTGTGAAAGTGTAGTAAAAATAATGAACAATGTTGTGAACAATTGAAGATCTTGTTTCCAAAGTGGCGTGTCTCTATTTTCGTTTGTTGAAGTGAAGCTTTTATAAGCGCGGTAGGACAAATTGGCCAGAATTAGACGTAAAGTGAAACGAGTAACTCTGACTATAGCAGCATTGGGAGTTGGCTGCGTTGTTGCGTACTCAAATACACTGGGGGAACATGTGGGGAATACATGGAGTAATATTAGGGGGAGCATTTGGTATAATTCGAAAAAATGTCGGGGGATGAGGAACTTTCAGGGGGACTTTTAGGCACATTTAAAAAACATGTGGGAACATGTGAGGTATCACGTAAATGGGGAACGTACTCTGGTCTAACAGAGTACAGTACTTGGTGACATTTGAAGAGCCAAATCCCAACAGGAAAATGGACAGATGATTATGAAGCTTCAGACGATTAGACAGTTTCATAAGAATCATATGACATGAGGTCTTATTGGCATCTGAAGTCTTGTTGGCATACACTATTGAAGTTGTGGCGTTGTTGAAAAAAGATTTGAATAAAATATCATTGTTAAAAAATAGTGTATACAACTCGTTTGTGTGACAGAATGTTTTATTGCATTCGTACAATTTCGAAACCTCGCTCTTAACGTTGCTCGTTTTCGAAACGTTTACTCATGCAATAAAGTTTAACATGAAAAACTAGTTGCACACTGTACTATTTTGAAAGAAAATAATATCCTTTATTTAATTAAAAGATATTTTCTTGAACTAATTTTCACTTATTTCCTAGTGTTGGAGGTGGTAGTGGTGGTGGAGAAGGTGGAGGTGGTGGTGGAAGTGAATGGATGCGGTGGAGGTGGAGACGTTGGTGGAGCTAGTGGTGAAGGTGGTGGTTACGAGTTGGTGGCAGTGAAAGTGGCGGTGGAGGTGGTAGTGGAAGTGAACGGATGTGGTGGAGGTGGAGACGTTGGTGGAGCTAGGGGTGGAGCTAGTGGTGAAGGTGGTGATTGAGGTGCAAGTGAAAGTGGCGGTGGTGGTGGTGGTGTCGGTGGAGGTGTTGGGGGGGCGGGGGCGTACTCACGGCGGCCTGTGCGCAGGCGCGGGCGTCGCTGGAAGCGGAGGAGCGCGACATGCGCCACGTGCTGGTGCTGGCCGTGGTGGCCGAGCCCGACGAGTCGTTGCGCGAGCTCGACAGGTTGGAGTCCTGCGACGTCTTGCGCGTCACCAGCCACGAGGAGGCGCGCCGCTTGGGGTCGAGCAGGCGCAGCGGGATGCCGCAGTGGTGGTGGTGCTGGCGCCACGAGTCGGAGCGCGACGAGCTGAAGTTCTCGCTCGACGACACCGAGCTCGCGCGCTTGTGCTGCTTCTGCTGGATCTCGGCGATCTGCGCACGCGCCGACGCGTCCAGCTTCACACGAGGAAGGAAGGCGACATCGGTCGCGATGGTTTCAAAGTATTGATGCATTTAACATATATACTGTGAAGGCGATGGTTTTTCAACATCGATGTTTTGCGGTCATTGTTTTTTACTTGCTTGGTATTCTATTTTTGAGTGAAAAACGAACCAGCATAGTACAATACTGTAATAATTTTTAGATAACTTTAAATTGAACATTATTTCAGACCAAAGTGACTAAGAGTGAAAAATATTTAAAATCTAGTTTTCGTCGATAACTGAAGTCCATATATTTTTTTTAATTCTCCAATCAAATGTATAAACGTTTTATTATTGTAAATGGTCTGATCATTTTTTACTGTTTTTTCAGTTAAATCTTAATTAAAATGAAGCAAACGCGACTACCATCAAATCCCCTACTCCACATTAACAGAAATAGTTACAAATTAAGTTTTAAAAACATCGATGTTTTAGAGGCAATGATTTAACATCGACCCTTTAATTTTAAACATCGATGTTTAGAATCGTCGTGTTTTAGGAGCTACGTCACAACCCTAACTCGTACGCATCCCATGCCTCGCCCGCGTTCTCATAGTTATAAGAAAAACGTTTTTCTTGGAGGTGGCATAATAACTACTAGTGGATTTCTCAAAATACAGGATTTCTCAATGCATTTGAAATTTATGTAAACGAGATTTATTTAATTTATTTAGAATTTTTCATGGGAGGTTGGAACCAAAGGAGTGCTGTTCATCAACCAAACTCTCCTGCCTAAGATGACCTCCACGATCTTGCATTTTCTCTTTCTTAATATTCATTTCACTCATTGAAGTATGGCCAACAACGCTGGGGGGGGTAAGGTTTGCCCCTTCTTCTCCTACCCATATATGGCGATAAACACGATCACTGTTAAAATTAAATTTAAACGCCCAAGAATTTAATGTTAGAGGTTACTAATCCAGTCTAAAACATCGATGTTGAAAACTACAGATGGTTTTTAGTCGATGCATTTTTAACATGGATTTTAATTTTGATCATCGATGTTTGTTAAGATTGATGTTTTGTTATCCATAGCGCATCACTAGCTTAGACTTAAGTTAGGTTTTTATAACGTGGCGCGTGAGAGCCTGTCTTCACGACAGAATATCTCACGGCATTTCGCGTCTTTCTCAGTCATGCCGCTAGAAGTCGTATGATATCAAGCAGTGCGATGTGTCAAGCGGCATGACCGAGAAGGACGCGAAAGGCCTTGAGATATTCCGCCTTGAAGGCAGGGCCACACGCGCCGAGAAATCAAAAGCGAAGCCTACCACAAGGAGGGTAGGTGCTGCGAAGGCTCACCTGGTAAGCGTACTGGTCGGAGCGCGCGCGGTGGCGCGCGTCAGCGTCGCGCTGCAGGCAGAGCAGCAGCCAGCCGGCCTTGTCGAGCAGCCAGGCGCGCGGCGCCCGCCGCCCGGCCGCGCCGCCGCCCGAGCGCACCGAGCTGCCCGCGCCGCTGTCGCCCAGCAGCTTGGCCGAGCACGTGCACTGCTGCGCGTGGTGGCCCGCGTGCTCGCGCGACGACCGGTCCACCAGGCTGTTCGTGTTGGCCGGCGTCTGCCTGCGCACCCCGCAACGCGCTCCATTCAGATCCCACTCGCGGATTGCTCGATTAGGGATTCAACAGCTAAGGTCGTTAGTCCTGGAAGCGTAGTGCGTGTTTTTATCGCGGGAGATGGCGGTGCTGGATGGCGAGACCCGATACGGACCTACGTCGGCTGGCAGTGTTTTTCCCAACAAATATCTTCCACCAGAGGGGCAAGCTTTAAGTTCCTGACCAGTCTCCTGGCAAGTGTTGTAGCGTAGTACATGTAAATGTGTGTAAGGGGAGAGGATAGAAGGAAGGTGAAGGAAAGATCGCGCGAGGTCCGTGGCCCGTTTGTTAGGAACTGCTCTGGCATTCGCCTGATGTTGATAGGAGAAACGATGGAAAACTACCGATTAAAGCAGCTGACCTCTAGAATTATCCTCCAGACAGCAGATGATTTCTAACTAGCATTCTAGCCATAGTTGAAAATGCCTCCACTGTCGGAAATCGAACCCTACAACCTCCCGGTCAGAAACACTGCAGTGACATCAGTTGATGCCCTAAGCCACGTTTGCCTGTCTCAGGTACTCATCATTCGACTACCGACGGGGATACGAGGTCGTCCATAAATGACGTTACGCCAAACACAGGGGGAGGAGGTTTTGAGGCAGCATTATGCCGTGTTATTGTTGGCTTAACCTTACGTAACACTAATTTTTGTAACATTTGCTAAAAAAACTTTTTTGAGTCATATACTAAAACATAATATTAACTAATTATTAAAAAAAAAAATTAAAGTGATTCTGGGTAAATTATTACAGTAAATGAAAATATTTTCATTAATTTTTTGATTCAATCTGTAAGATTACGATGACAATATTTAAAACTTATCTATATACTAGAATGAAATTAAATTGGCGTAGTAGACCCTTCCTAAGCGATGTTCATTGTTGAAAGGTTTCGTTGTGAAACATTTTCACGTCTATGCGTTTTTCCTTCACCCAAAAATTGCCCCCACTCTAATTGTTATGTGTAGACAATTAATTCTGACTTTAATTATCACTGTTATAACAATACAACAACAATACTTTTAATTAACAATATATATATATATATATTATATATATTGTTAATTAAAATTAATACAAATTGTTTTTGCTGTAATATAATCTCATATTTCTTCTTGTAAATGGGGAAGGGTGTTGTCGCGAGCGTTATAGCGATATAGATATTATTACATAAGAAGATACATAGATATTATTACATTCCTGTTATGAATATACTTGTATTTTTTATATCATGCTAACAATTAAAAATTTGAATGACAGTGGCATCCTTAGGATACTTTGTTGGGCTCTCTCATTCTAACTGTGGAGATCGGCTATGTTCTTATTGTATTTGGGTGTATGTTTGGTTTTCATCAGACATATGTTTCAGTTGGTGACTTTTGAGTTAAAATGAATGTTTTTCAAATAAATATTTTTGGTGTTTTGTTTAAGACTACCTGATGATGCGGTTATACTGAATTACGAAACGTGTTCCAATTAGTAAAAAAATGTAAAGGAGTGTTTGATTGTCTTTGGGGATACCTCTTCCCTACAAAACCATGCTGTAGACAATTATAAGAATTTAAAAAAATACTGCAGTAAAACCTCATTAACACGAATTCCAAGGGACCGAAATAATCGGAATTCGTATTATAAAAATGCATGTTATCCGAGAATTATAAATGTCCGTATGACCGTAATCACTTGCCGGGACCAACGTTTTGTTTTTGCTGAGGCAAAATTCGTATTAAGCAAGTTCGTTATAACGAGGGTTTTCTGTATTTAAAAAATATTGAACTGCAATTGCTCTTTGCCAATGAAACACTCCCTGAATCCGCCACTGGCTCGGCCCAACGCCAGAGACGCGCGCCGTCCGCTCACCTGTTGGAGAAGTTGGAGCTGTGGCGACAGCGGCCGATGCCGCGGGTGACGCGCGACTCCTCGATGGCCTTGCAGATGAGCACGCAGTCCTTCTTGAACTGCTTGGTGAGGATGGCGTAGAGGAACGGGTTGCAGCAGCTGTTGAGCGGCAGCACGAACACCGTGAACACCTTGGCCTGCTCCAGCGACACCAGCTGCAGCCCGAAGGCGGCCGTCAGCGAGAAGAAGGCGATGGGCGACCAGCACACGAAGTCCGTGAACACCAGCAGCGCCATCCGCTTGGCGATGCGCGAGTCGTTCGAGTTCCACGCCTGCCGGACCGGACCGCGCAGCGCGCGCGCATTCACAGTGAGCGCGCGCCTCATCCACAGCGCTCACGTCATGAATCCGCGTGATTTGGGCTGTCCGGGTGACGCCGCGTCGAAGGCTGTGTTGCCGACGTTTCGACCCTCTTGTCGTGGCCTTCCTCAGGGATGGTATGGGCATGGTATGGGTATACCAGCCCTGAGGAAGACCACGGCAAGATGGTCGAAACTTCGGCAACACAGCCTTCGACGCGGCGTCACCCGGATAGCCAAGATCACGTGCATGACTCTGGCCGCGGAAGCCTACGACTTTGCCATGTCATGCAGACAACTTACACTTAAAAACGATCATACACAATCACGAACGTGATTTTCGTCTGAATCAATCAGAATTTAACGTATGCAAGCTTCATTGGTTTGTTTCTAACCTTTTCTTCCACTTTCCTATTGCTTTAAGCCTTTCGTATGTGCTACTCCCCCGCCTCTAACTAGCAACTAGCGAAAAGATAGTTCAACAAAACGTGCGCGTAGATAAATTATTGATTTATTTCGAAACATATTATATGGTTTATTCCATAATTAATCACTTGAATCATCACTAGTTGAATGATGAATAAAAATGCCATCAAAGCGAGGTTAGCAACATTTGAAAACTGGAGCTCTTTGCTCCCGATTTATAGAAAACTTATATGCAATGGTAAACAAACTACAAAAATGATTGTTTAGTACTGCTAACAAAAGAAACCCTACTTCCCCGCTTCTACCTTAATTAGCAAAAGGAAAGTTTGTGTAGTGAAATTATTCATTTATTTCGAAACATGTCATATGATTCATTCCGAGATTAATCGCTTGATTCATCTCGGAAATTTCACATACTCTGGACATCTTTACTATGATCACTATTCAAATAAATTTGGAATTTGTCATTTTTCCTCATTTCCTATTTTCTGATAATTGAATATAATAATGAAATTAAATGAATTAAGTAAAATTATAAATAATTGAAAACGTAAGAATCAAATATTTGAAAACGAGATATAAAAAAATAATTCTTACTTTTTCACAAAGAAATTGTAACAAGTTCATAAAGTGCACCAGAGAATTCTTAATTTACAGAAGGAAACGTACTAAAACTGTTTACTGTTCGCAGAGAAAGTCAAAATGGCAATAAGGAATGGATAAAGAAGTAGCAGATGACAGGAAATATCCCATGGATCAAGTGTGATCTGTGAACTCGAACGTGTATCCTGCGAAACTTCTCTTAAAAACGATGAACTAAATGAATAGAACAAGAAATCTAATGAATACTAACATACTTTGTTCAACCAATACCAACCAATAGCTCGAAGACATTGTCAGAGATGGACACAGGATGAATTAAAGGAAGTGATGCAGTGCTTTTACTACGTCAAAGCGAAAAATGGGGACTCATAAACTCTAAACTCTAAAATCTCGACTCTTGTTTTTCAGATATAGAAAGAGCTGATCCAGATATAAGAATATCGAAAAAGCTTGCCAGTCAATGACGATACATAATCAGCAGTGAACATTTCACACAAGAACAACTTGTCTACGTTCAGGGAAATGTGGAATAAGTTCTTCGATAGAACTATCCACACAAACATTTAAAACCATCTAATATCCCTAAAAAAGATGGTTCCTCTCTTCTCAATGAAACATCAGTCAGTGATGAAAATTCATCTGGAAATAAATTGAATTGATGCCATATTTTACGCGTCGAGACTCAGGCCATGAGGCCTGCACTTCCCTCTGACCACGCAAATTTCGCTACACTCCTTTCACCAACTAACGATATATTTTGGGCGAAGAAACAGGCGATTTGAATTTAGCTCAGCGGCTTCGTTAGGCCTGAGGATCCTTTACATGCAGAACATGAATCACACGATAAGGACATGACGCGAAACCTCGTTCGACGCGAGATAGAGTTCGTCTACTTTCAATCGAATCTCGTGAATCGTTAGCAGAATGTACGAAAATGCTAATGCTAAGAGAGTGATAGAGTCAGCGAACTCTGACTTACTGAGGTGGTACAGATCCCACACCAGATATAGATTTAGATATTACTGAAATCAATCGCATCGTGTATGCAACTGAATATTTGGTATCTCAGATAATTTTGGACACCAATGGTCAGCACCCAAACAGAGTAAACAACTCCGAACCCCCATTGGCATAAACAATTATGAAACGAATAGCTGACACTCGCGTGAAACATCATTCTTAGCCGAGGCATCTTTTAAATCAACACACACCTCTAGTTCAACTAAAGTTCAAGTAAAAATAAACCATGTTGAACAAATATACCAAATTCGAACTGACACAACAAGGCTAATGTCAGCTAAAAAAGCTAAAGGAGAAAATCTGGCTCAACGCTTCACAGGTACAAACGTAGAGTAGATTTCCATGTACAGTATCGGTTGTTCAGAATCAGAAACAGACGCAAAGGGTTTTTATTGCAACCTGACTAAAAAACCGAAGGTAATGCTGACACTCCTTCAAAAAATGACGTCAACAAATTTAGGGCAAGAATCGTGGAAGAAAGCAGATCCTACAACAAAGACGCATCTTGGCTTCAATCTGAAGTTGATGCTGCCGATGAATTTGTGGAAACGGAGGAACATGTTCACGAATTCTCGAAAGAGCACCTCTTGCAAGCAATTAAGAAAATGCGAAAGTTGAAATTCCTCGGGAGTGATAATATCCACAATTTTTGGATTAAGAAATCTTTATTCAGATTTATAGATGACAGATGATATTGTATTTGGATACAGAAGCATTCTAACTGTTAATTACAACGAATGGAATGTGAGAGAAACAATTGAGAGGCAAGTGAGTGAACGAACGGATATTTATGAATTATATCAATGTGTATGTGTGTGTGAGAGAGAGAGAGAGAGAGCGAGAGAGAGAGAGAGAGAGAGAGAGCGAGAGAGAGAGACAGAAGAGGAGAGGAAAAGACGCTTTCTGAGAGTAATTGAGTAATGATACGGGTTGGTAAACTGGTGACAAAATAGTGCCATTAATTCGAAATATGATGAAACTTTCAAATAGAAAAAACAAACAATATGAGGTAAATTTATCCATTTAAGGGAAAGTTGAAGACAACGCAGGGAGGCAAAGCGTACGTCTGCGCCCAGAAAAGACAGTCCGCACCTGAGACCCACGAATAGCGCAGTACATCTTGAGGTAGCAGCCCATGAGGATGAGGAAGGCGACGCCGTTGATGAACATGAGGAAGACGACGTAGGCCAGCGACGCGGCGCCGTTCGTCTCGAAGGGCAGGCACACGGCGAACTTGCGGTAGTCAGACACGCCCAGCAGCGGCAGCAGCGCCATCACCAGCGCGAAGCTCCAGCCGCACGCCATGATGTAGCCCGCGTGCTTCAGCGACAGCCGCTTGTTGAGGTGCATGGCGTGCGTGATGGCGTAGTTGCGCTCCAGCGTGATCACGGCCAGCGTGTACACGCTCAGCTCGCTGCTCAGCACGCCCAGGAAGCCCGCGAGCTGGCAGCCGGCCGACATCTGCCACGGGATGGCGTACATGCGGAACTCCCCCAGCGTCGACGCGTCCACCACCGCCAGGAACCCTGCGGAACACCAACGGTCCACTCACATACACCGCACAGGCCTCTCCACTTAATAGTAATTGTGTGGCATGGAGGTCTCTACTAAATCAAACTTCTTTCGTAATTTAAAATGACTAAACTTAAACACAGACTTGAACAAATAAAAACCAGGGAAAATGTGCAAAATAATGTCTACTTGTTACTTGGAAAGACAAACGTAGTAGGCATGGGGGATTTCAGCGTTATTCACGAATCAAACATTTTTTTCATATTTTGAAATTCCTGATAATTGTAAACCTAGGGGTTTCCAGAGGCTGGTGCAGCTGGGGCAACTTGCCCTCATATCCCCATTTAAATGGGTCCCCGAAAATGTACACAAAATGAATTTCCTTCAATACAATTAAAAAAAGGTTTGATTGCAGTTTACAAATAATACACTTTAAAATATAGTAATAATTTATTATAGTAATAAATGACTTGACACTGCATATTAAATGACGCGTGACCAGATAAGTATAGAGCTTGAAGATCACGTCGTTACAAATATATTCAATGTGCATGAGTGGCAACTAAAATTACATGTACATTTTTCAATTATGAAAATAAAAAGGCAAAATATGATGCTGTTTTTACCATACTATGCTTGTTATTTACTTATTTACGTCAAAAAAAGTTAAGAACTGAACGTGCTACGGAGAGAAGTGAATTCCGTGCATGTTTTCATAATCCTGTGATACTGTATAATGTGCAATATCCTAGTTAAATTTTGAATCTAGAAATAAATGAGTGTTTTTGCAAGGATTGTTAACAAAATATTTGCTGCTCTGCAATACAATCTGTTTTCAAAGATAAAGTAGCTATAGATTTGGGCTATTATCCCTCATCGTGTCCTTTGGCGGCATGGAGATCCATAATACGAAAAACTAAATTTCTCACTGAATTGTAGAAGACGTGAACAGATAATGAAGTTACATTTATTTACATTTCTCATTTATTTTTCCCACAAAAGATGAAAAAAAATCTTTCTTTCGTAATTTTCCTATCCGTCGGGTCGCCACGTGCAGGGTTTGGCCTGATTTACCCAAGTAGATGCCCATGAAGAAGTCGGCGGCGGCCAGGTTGCAGACGAGGAAGCGCGGCACGTCCATCTTGGAGCGCGAGAAGATGAGCACGAAGACGACGGTGCCGTTGCCCAGCATGGCTAGCAGAAACACGATCCACACGCCGCAGCGCAGCGTCCACCAGTCGAACAGGTCCTGGCACGGCAGGAACGGGCCTGCAACGCACCAAGAGAGCGGCTTGCGTGGTGAGAGCGTAAGCTTCCGCGGCCGGACTCAGTATTTATTCGGCTGCCCGGAAGACGCCGCGTCCATGGCGAAGGTGCCGACGTTTCGGTCGCCATTCTGCGACCTTCCTCAGGGCGAAATGTCCTGAGGAAGGTCGCAGAATGGCGACCGAAACGTCGGCACCTTCGCCATGGACGCGGCCTCTCCCGGACAGTCAAGTAAATACGGCTTTCATGGTACAGTGCGGGTGTTTTCAGTCCCTTTTCCTCCACGGCTCCCGTGGCCTAAACGAAACTAAACGCGGCTCTCCCGGTAACAATAAGTTTCAAACGTAAGAGTTAATATACCCCCTACTAAAGATTCAACACAAATGAATAGACGATACAATAGGCTACTGGTAAAGGGTTTGTCAGGTTCAATTAATCCACAATTAATTAGTAAAATAAATCATATACATTGCAAATAACATATTATGATAGAATAAAATTATTTTGTAGACATGAATGACACAAGCATTAAAATAAAACAATTCAAAGATCATTTTTAATAATCACTATGACTTATTACCAAATGTCCGCGACGTCACTGGGAGTCGGAACTCACAGTTCGAAAACCCCTGGTATAGTCGTTATCCTGCCGGGCTACTAATCCCAAGTTCTCGCGTTCAAAGTCGGGGGATTTTTAAGGTGCCAAAAATCGACGGCATGTATGTGGACGCTTCTCGGCATGCAAAAACGGATCCTACGAAAGACAGTTAACCGATGCTGGCAAAATTAAATCCTCTAGCAATTTGGCACCACTCAGTTTCGATTTGAATTACTGAATACGATATCGGATATTGTATCTGGGCCTGCGCTATCTGGTATTCAAATCGTCATAATTGGCGCACTATCGTCCTTAGGGAAAGCAACGGCATAGAAAAAGACAGTGACCCGCTCATCCAACCATATCAGAGATCTCTTCCAATCCTCAATTTTCTACCACCATACTTCGTGATGGACCCTTCCGTCGTTGGCTGCCGGAGATAGCCCATAGACTTGTCTCGTTCAATCGCAGATATTATTGCCGAAGCACCCCGTAGGGCTATTTCGGGGAAATACTTCAGTTTGGTGAAGGTATCAATGTCTGTTATGATAAAATAAAGAGTGTTTTAGAGGGTATTACAATGATTGTGATACACAACATCCTTGCCTTAAACGGGATTTGTATCCAGAGCCCGGATATAACGCATGGGCGCATTTGCTCTAATAGCCCGGGAGACGACAAAAAACAAAGAAACAAAAAAAAAAAAAACAACAACAACATAAGATAAGCCCAAAGTTAACACTTTTTTGGAGGTTAGCCAGTATTGTGAGGAACAAGAAATTGGAAGTATGGTAGCCTGTCGGCATTATTATTTTGCATTGTGCTGTATGTCAGCTTTGTGACTGTCACTTCAGCACAATGATTTGATTAGACAATTATTCATATTCTCTGCCATTTATACAAGATACATGGGGGATTGTCATTGCCTTCCGTAGCACAGTTCCATGGCATCTTAAATTGGACTAAAACCAGCAACCTTGAGCAAAAATCAGCGCCCCAATCATATGACCTATGGGGGTTGGCGTTTAACGAGCAAAAGTATTCGAAATATATTTTATTTAAAAAATTAGAAATTGATCAGTCTTACAGCTACTATGCAAAGAATGCGAAATCTCACAAATATACATTCTCAACGTTCTGATTGAGTTCTCGTAAAACGTATCGAAAGTATTAAAAAATGTAATTCGTAGGAAAGGGTATGGATAAAATTTTTAATTAAGACATATTCTGTACTTAAATCTCTTTATAAAGAACAAATAAAAAAAAACACTGGAAAATATTAAATAAATCCTCCACCACCACATTGTCATATTAAAATAATATATAGCCACTAAGATTAATGCGAGAAAGCACGTGCTGTTATAGAACCTCATGTTTTCTCTTATTTTTCCATATTCTCGCATATCTTACATGATAACGAAATATTAAAGCATTATACATCGAGATCCGATCTCTTTTGCTCTAGACACATTTTAGTACAGCGCGCAACCATCAGGCGAGTAGTAGTTAGTAGTTCCTCTACTAGATGGTGCTGCGGTCTCTAGCGCTCTCTTCGGTCGCTCGGCTTCCCCCGGCTACGGTAGCGCGCAGTGGTGGAGGAATATGATGAAAATATTTTGCGGTGAATGCGATAGAGACGAACTCTTTTTATTCAAGTGGCGATAATGTTGAGAGAGATAAAAGAAGGGAAAACCTCTAAGGGCCTTAACCGAAACAATAAGTAATTTCAATTGATAATCAGAAAATCATATTTCCTTACGTCTTATGGGCGAAATTATTGAATGATATAATTACCTTTTTGAGTTTGTGCCACAATTTAATATTGCGACAAGAGTTAAGGAATTTGGTAAACAGACTCGTCGAACTAAATGATACGTTAAAGCTACACATTCCAGTTCATATAAAGTGCTTCAAGGATTGCAATTTGAGGGGCGTGTAATTGAAGCGTCTGTCTAAAACAATGGTACATAAATTCGTGTTTTAATAGCAACATCTTGTAATGTCGTGAAGGCCAGTAACGCCGTCCCTTCATCTAATAATTTGGTTATAAGAACCAAATAAATAAGTCAATAAGCTAACAATAAGTAAGTTAATCAGTAATTTTATGTTAAGTTAGTAAACAGTTAAGAAATAAGCCATAAGTCGTAGTCAATTGGTAAGTAACAGTTCATTATAATAAATAAAACTGGCATAGTAATAAGCACATTAGGGGGGGGGAGGTAAGGGGGGATCGAAAATATAAGGGCAGAGGCGTTGGTGCGGACGATCTTCTGTGTGGCGCTGTATGATTTCAGGTGCTGAGGAGGCCAAGCACTGGAAGGAGACGGCGGGACGCCCGCGCCAGAAAATAAATAGTTAAAATAAATGTCGGATAGATTAGTATGTACTCGGCTTCTGACGGCAGGTTTTTCCCCCTTCAGGGATTTTTTTTCCTGAGCCGTACCTTATGGTGTCTTTTCCGCGGCTTTGATGCGCTGGAGAGACCATTTGGGGTGAATACCAGAATTCGAAAGATTAGAACGCGAAAGGATGTAGGTATTGTAAAGGCCTTCGTCCTAGCCACATAGGATCAAGTAAGCTAATTTGTTTGTAATAATTACCTATTAAATAAATAAATATAAATAAATATAAGAACCAAGTAACCAAACATACGCGGCAGGGAGGGAAGAAGAAACAAATAGAAACTTGAAAATTTTCAACAGAAACCGAGATAAGCCATTCGTTTCAATTTTATCTGAAAGCAAACTTTCTCGAGCAAAGGTGTATCGAACAAAAATATATAATTTCGAGGAATAAATAACGTGCACGGAGAAATCTGGCCGACTATATTATCAACTACAGCATTACCACATTGAAATTTTTTTATCTTGAACTGATATTCATTTTGTTAATTAGTTTCTGGAACGTATAAATCTCAAGTAAGTCTTTGTGTACCCTATTTTTTACTATTATTTTCAGAAATGTTATAAACTAAATCGAAATTTAAAGACATACAAATACATTTTTGCTTACACAAAGTAATTGCAAACCTTCCAAGCAACAATTAAACTTCAGTAGATTAAATATAATTCGGTGTTAAAAACGAAGATAATGAACTCTTTCTCCATGAAAGATATTTAAATCCAGAAAATAAAATTTGAATAATCGCAATTTTAGAGAAATGTTTGTTTTGTGTGATAAATTGGCGGTCGCGAATGCAAAATCGCACTCTGCGAAACATAATCAAAATTCGCCGCAACATTGTCCCACCAACCCCCGCCTCACCAAACTCCACTCCACTAAACCCACCCCACTCCACCGAATTCCGCCTCACCAACCCCCGCCTCACCAAATGTCACTCAAAGAAATTCAGCCCGGGAGAGATGGTTCTGGATATCAACTGATGTCACTGCAGTCCCTCTGACCGGGAGGTCCTAGGTTCGAGTCCCGACGGTGGTAGGATTTTCGACACTAGCTTGTTAGCTAGGTCGAATTCAGTCGCGGCCTGGGGGAGAACGGCCCGCTGCTCTAATCGGAAGTTTCCCGTGGTTTCTCCGATCAACACCAGACGAATGACGGAGCATTCGTACCCTAACAAACGGGCCACGGACCGCACTCGATCTCATCTTCATCTTCTTTGTCCTATCCTCACCCCTTACACACACACCTACATACACTAACACGCTACAGACTAACACACATGACGGGAGACTTGAGCTAAGAGCTTGTCCCGGTAGGGGCGGTGCCCCGCAGGTGGGGATACCTGGTTGGGGAAAATCCCTCTAGCTGATGTTAGGTCGGCGCTGGACTTCGCCCTACAGCGGAGGAAAGATCACCACCGCCTCCCGAGCACAAAACATGCATTACACTTACGGGAATAATGACCCTGGTAGTTAACGTGCCTGGAATTACTAATCAATCAATCAAAGCCACCAAGCTCAGCTTCACCAAACCCCGCCCTACTAACCCCGGCCACAAGCAAACCCCGCCCCACCACACACCTTCACAACCCCTGAACCAGTACCAACCCACGTCCCAACCCGCGAAAGCCTCCGCCCCCGCATCCCTGCGCTCTCATAAAGAGAACTCGGCGCCGAGCCGCCCCCACACCGCTCGCGGGGCGGGCGAGCAACCACGTGTATGACCCAAATTGGGGCGCATTATGGCGCTGACGGGGCTAATGAAGTGTAATTGATTCGCGCGATCGCGCCCTGCTCGCCCTGCTGTGCGCGCCGGGCGGCAGAAAGTGCCTGTCAAAGCGCGATTTTCCATTCGCCACCGCCAATTGCAGAGTCCGCGGCGCACCAATAAATTTCCAAAATTTGGATTTTTAGAATTTCATATTCTGGATTTCGTTGTCTTATATATAGGAGGAGTTGGATAACGTCGTCTTTGAGTTCGTATTACATTTGCTTAGTGCTAGTTAATTAGTTTTCTCAGAGGCCTGCAATTCCTACGTGTAAAATACATTTAAAACATTGCATTTCTTTAAATTTCGAATTAATTTAATAACTATTTTGATATAAAGGTGGAGCGGGGTTTAATGGCTTGGGGATTGGGACAAAGGCGGGTTCTGTGGCGGTGGTGGGAGGGGTAGGCAAATGTGGATTAGTTGACGGAGGCAGGGGCTAACGCAGGATTGAGGGATGGTGGGAAGCGGGAATGGAGGAGAAGGAGGCGAGGACATTGAAGTGATAATGAATTCGTGGGTGACAATGCAGCCGCAAGCGGCGGGGCCATTCCTCAGTATTTTGCAGTACACGTTTTCTGTACAGTAGTGCGATTTCGTGGAACTTAATTTTTTCAAATTAAGAGTGGTTCTCAAGGCGAATTTGTTGAATCTACGGGTCGTTAGGTTAATAGTTAGCTGAAATTTGTGAGAATCTGCTCAATTCCCCCATCACTGGTAAATATATAATAACTCATATTCTCCCACACTTAATAATTAGTTATTCTTACATGCACATGAAAAGGAGTGTTTGGCGATGTACGCTTATTTCATGAGGATATGTGAGAAGATACAGTGTTGTAAACTGCTTTACATATCAGATTATTTTCTCATTTTCCCCATCCATTAATTGAAATCAATTGCGCTGAAAGAACGAGAATCATTCTTTTCTTTGTTAATATTAGTGTTTTAGATCACGTTCAACGATCATTGTCTCAACAATGTATTAATTCTTGGAAACACAATGTATGAAGGAGACATTGATTTTAATTTATTGATGAAGTTACCGTGATTCAAAGAAATGTCGATTTCAGTGTCTGGAGATTCGCCTAACCGGACCCGTTTAGGATGCTTCAACCTAACAATATTACTGCAGTTTTTCTTACATTTACTTGTATATATTTTCGTATACTACGTTTTTGTATTTTATATAAAATATATGCTGTAATTGCTTTTATAATCCTGTCAATTACATCCGAGCCAATAACTGCTCCTTGAACAGTGTCCATGCAAATATATTCATCCTCAGAATAGGAGCGAAGACTATGCTTTTTTTACTTCTGGGAAAACATGGTTTTTATTATTGACGAGCAAACGGATTGAACTGGTACTAGGAGATGGATACGGATTGTATACATAGGTTGCATCATGTAGGCGAAAAATCACACGCAAAAATCATAACGCTTGTAACGTCATTTTGGCAACAAAAGCTTCCTTTCTGCACTTAATTTCTTGACAATTTTGATTTGTATACAAAGACCAGTAAGTCGTGTTTATTCATAGTCAAAGCTCTTGAAATAATAATTTAAATTATTGTCGTCAAAACACCTGTTTGAGGTACAAATAAGGAAAAAAGCAATTTAAGGAATTGAAGTAATTGGGATGCAAATAACGATAGGAATCGGACCAATAATCAGACGCAGCCTTACAATCGCGCCCAATTTTAGTCGTCCAGAAACTCGCTAATGACCTCCTGAATCTACAACCGCGCTTCGAGTTTTGGAAATGAGTATAAAGTGGAGTTAATGCACAGGCTGGAACGAACTCGAAAAATGAGAGAAAACACTTTCAAAGGGAATCAGAGCTTCCAAGGTTGAAACGGCGAAGGAATTATTTTTATATATATATATATATATATATATATATATATATAATATTTACATTTTGTATAATATACATTAAACACACGCTGTGTGTTTTTCCACCTGAAAATACTCAGGTGATATATGAAACTATCCCTAGAAATACAATTCAGTGTAGTGAATTATATATTATTTCGCGTTGTAAGAAAGTTTATGGAACATGAAACAACTTATCAACCAACTAATGTAAAGCAGCTTCTCGCTTCTGAAATTTGCTTATAAAAAGTCAAGTAGTTGTAACATGCAGTCTGTATGGTTGAGCGCTGGAGGTATCGACTCACCGGGCAGAGGCAGGCATTGCACCTTGTTGGGCGGCGCGTCGCTGCCCCCCAAGTGGCCGTCCTGGTCCTCGAAGTACTCGTCCGTGGGCAGCGCGCCGGGGTACGTGAAGTCGTTGCCGAACTTGTCCCATATGTGGTTCATCTGCGACCCGAATTTCTTCGTCATGTTGTCTGAAATAGAACATCAAATGTTCACTTGAACGGCGCTCGGTTTTATAGTGTTTAGAATTCATATTAGTGTTGATTAAACCACAGTAATGTTACACAATTCGATATACGGTTGCTTTCAGTACAATTCGTCTATTTCTTTTAAATAATTTGATCTATCTATCTTTTTAATGAACACAGGCAGACAACGGGACTTTCAAAAATAATGTCCATTCGGAAAAATTTTATTTCACGAGTCAAAAATTAAAATTCTTTTAATTATTGTATAATGCACTAATGTGGATAAACCTAGCGCGCAAACCGGCTAACCGGCTTGTGAGTAGCGTAGACAGGTTAGGTGGTTCAGTGCATCAACTGATGTCACTGCAGTGCCTTTGACCGGGAGGTCCTTGTGAGCTAGGTCGAAATCAGTCTCTGTCTGGAGAATTCCAGCGACCGGCTGCTCTGATCAGTAGTTTTCCGTGGTTTCTGCGACCATCACCAGGCGAATGCCGGAGCAGTACCCAAACAAATTGATGACCGACCGCGGGCGATCTTTTCTCCCACTTCCTTGCCTTGTCCTCACCCCTTACACACACCACACACGCACACACTCACACACACACACACACACTCACACACACACACACACACACACATACTCTTTCACACACAAAACTGCCACACATAGCGGGAGTCCAGTCGGGAGTTCAGAACTTGTCCCGGCTGGGGCTGTGCTCCGCTGATGATACCTGGTTGGTGAAAACACGCTAGCAGATGTGTAGGTCAGCGACCGGTCTCATAATCTAGTGAAGATTGCCTCTACCTTCCGCGATGAAAACATGCACTACATTTACGGAACGAATAATCTTGGCTGTTGAAGAGCCGCGGGTAACCAATCTGATAATAATGGACGAAATAATGTTTTAAAAAACAAAATCAATCAATGAATCTAGGGGGTTGACTTGAGTCATGGACATGTCAACCTACATTCAGAAGGATGAAAAAAAAACTTTAAATATAATTTACTGATGAATCGAGAAACTGGTGAACAGATGATTGAAGATAAATCATACTATAAAGCATATGTAGATGTGGACGTCATCAACGATGATGGACATTTGAGTGTGTTATATGCCTACATTTAGAAATGCAGGCTGTACTGATTATGCATTAAATGTTTAGCTAAAACGAAAATGTTCATTGTGTTTTTTTCAGCAAAAGTAATTCTACGTGAATACAAAATAGAAAAAAAATCTTTCTTATACATTGACAAAAATGATGGTGATCTCCATTGGATGGTGATGTCTTGGCGATCTGAGGACCGAGAGAATTTGGTGGAAGAATCGGAAGAAGCGATGGTGGCAATGGTATCAGCGGCAGTAGCGTCAGTGTTGAGGAAGGTTGTGGCACCTGTGGCGATATTCTGGTGTTAGAGCTGGCGATCTGGTTCTCGTCGGTGATTGGACGTCGGGGGTGAGGATGTCGGTAAGAGCGACGGCGCACACATTACGGCTGACGGTGACGATTTTGATGGCAGCGATGAGTTGGCGGCGTTTGCGAAATTGCTGCCCGGAAGCGATGACTTCAGGGGCTTCGGAGCAATGGCGGTGCAGGGGGCGTAGGTAGCGGCGGTGGCGGTGGCGTTCGGCGCGTCGTGGTCGGCAGGGGCGGCGACGGTGATTGTGTTGGAGGTTGCGGTGGTGGCAGGAGCAGCGGACTTCGGCTGCAGCCACAGAGGGGCTGCGGGTAGGGATGGCAGCTGGGCTGGCGGCAGGGGGCGCGCGGGAAGCGTTTAATTAATTGCGCCGCTAGGTAGTGCTCGCGCACGAGGCGGTGCCTCCTCCCCACGCGCCGTTGCAGCCTACCGCGCGACCAGTTGCGCACGCGCGTCAGACTCGCCGCGTAGACGCTCGACTGACATAATTGCAAACGAGGAATTGCTCATTGGCAGGGTTCAGAACACGATGACATGTCATCTTTTCATTGGTGCGTTCTAGACGCAGCTAACTTTTATATGAATGTGATAGAATTGCATAGTTTGGGGGTCTTTTTTGGTATTTTTGCCATTTGATCCATTTTTAGGTTATGTTTTGGACCTTTGAGTAATTTTTACACATTCCCCCTCCCCTTTTCCTGATTTTTGTTAGTGAATGTTTTTATTGTATCTAATCGATTGATCGATTCTCGTCTGTTTTGTTTGTCTTTGTTACCGCGTGACGCCTGCTTGTTCCCGATGGTGTAATTATTTATGAAAGAAGCAACTTCCACCATAATTAAGAAAATTGTAGGTACTTATGACAGTGAAGTTTTGGTACTTTATTTCATTCCTTACAAATCGCTTAAAATATGCTTAAAAAAGATGAATGAAGAAAGATACAAAATTTTTAAATTTAACGAAAAAGTAAAAATAATCGATATAAAAGAAATATTTTGTATTATATTCTTGAAATAGAAAGGTAAAAAGTGACGAAAATGCAACTTAACGTGACAAAAATAAAATAGTGAGTGCAAATCTTGTATAATCTATTTCAGTATCAGTCTCTGATGCCGGAAGTGTTTCCTGGCTGATGTCAGAGAGAGTATCCATTTCACTAAATGATTCACTGCTACTTTCCGGACCAACACTTATTACAATGTCATCAACAGAATTTTCAAGCAAAGCATACTTATCCTAGTATTCTTTTGTTGCTTTATTGGTACGAAGGACAGGTTTTTTCCAGTCTTCTATTGTTATTTTATCAATTGCTTCTGATGTAATTATTTTTAAATTAGAAAGTAAACAAATGATGCACTTATCTTTCGATCACTTTCATTTTCACAAACTTCTTCCTGCCCGCAAAGTCCCACATCTCGGTGAGAACTCTTCGCCCAAAAATATCTCGCTTAACGAACATCACAACTTTTGTTAGCGAAACTGCTGTACAGATCCGTGTTTACACTGTTAGTTCCACGACGCGCCGCAATAACCTTCATTCTTCGCTTGGTCGAGTTATATCCTATTTTTGTAGTTGTTGTCTTTTGTGTTATTTCACGGATTACTTTTTGTTTGTATTGTTGCAATTTAGGTGGAATTGCCATGAAATAGGTAACGAAAATAAACAATGTTTGCGAAAAGGAAATTAAATTAGAGGTACGTCGACTATTGCGGTTGTATCATTAGGACATTTTTTTATTATTTGGTTATGAGACAATGTTATCACCAATGGAAGCCACGTATCCTGTTCCCATAAATATCGATGAAAGCATACCGTATCCCGTATGGGTCGACTGCGGGAACCTCGACCCAAATATAAATTTCTGGACTGCGTGGATTATTTTTTAAGTACAAACGAAATGTTGAATAATTAATAGAGCAGTGGAAGTGATAAAATCATTGAAGAATATGGCTCGCATGCATATATAAGAGCCAAAAAACTGATACATCTGCCTAATATCATGTAGGGCCCCCGCGAGCACGCAGACGTGTCGCAACTTGACTTGGCATAGACTCAACTAATGTCTGAAGTAGTGCTCGAGGTTATTTGACACTATGAACCATGTAAGACTATCCATAAACTCGTAAGAGTACGAGGGGGCGGATATCTCTTATGAACGCCACATTGCAAGGCATCCCAGATATATTGAATGATGTTCATGTCTGGGAATTGTGATGGCCAATGGATGTGTTTCAATTTAGAAGAGTGTTCTCTGGAGCCCCTCTGCAGCAATTCTGCACGTATGGGTTGTTGCAATTGCCCAAGTCCATCGGGATTCACAATGGACACGAATGGGTGCAGATGGTCAACCAGGATGATTACGTACGTGTTACTTGTCAGAGTCGTATCTAGACTAGAATCAGGGTTCCCATAATCACTTCAACTGCACACGACTCACACCATCACAGAGCCTCTACAAGCTTGAACATTTCCCTGTTGACATGCTCGGTGCATTGATTTATAAAACTATTGCCACACTCGTCCATAACACGTCCATCCGCTCGAAATACTGTAAAATGAGACTCCTCAGACCAGGCAACGTGTTTTCAGTCATCAACAGTCCAATGTCGATGTTGAAGGGTCCAGGCGAAGCGTAAAACTTTGTGCCGTGCTGTCATCAAGGGTAGACGCATTGGCCTTCGGCTCCGACACCCCACACCGATGATACCATCTTGAAGTCTCGATATGGGCACGTTGACACTTGTTGGTGGCCCCAAATCGCAGGAATTTGCGGAAGGGTTGCACTTGTCTCGTGTAATGATTCTTCTCATTCATCGTCGCTCCCGTTCTTGCACGATCTTTTCGCGGCCGCAGACATACAGACGTACATTCAGGAAGTTTGATGTTTTACCGGATTCCCGATATTCACGGTACACTCGTGAAATGGTCGTACGGGACAATACAAATTTCATCGCGACCTCGGAGATTCTATGCTCCATCTCTCTTGCGCCAACAATAACATCACGTTCAAACTCACTTAAGTCGTGATAACCTTACTTAAGACGTGCCATTGTAGCAGCAGTAACCGACCCTAGCAATTGTACCAGACGCTGGTAGTTTTATGAAGTCGTTGCCGACCGGAGCGCCCTATTCTGATTGTTTCCAGATCTCTTTATTTCAATACTCATGGATGTACCAGTTTTTGGCTCATCAGTGTATATATGTAACATTATTAAACAAAGAGAAATAATCCACACAACATCGATCTCAATTCTCTCTAAATTAAACCTGTTTACTTTTCCCATAGATAGCAAACGAATCGAAAAGTGTTATACATCTTTATCTCAAGATTATACATCTTCTTCTATTAATCTTCAATATTATACGTCTTTTAGGCGCTTTATAAATGTTACTGACGGAAATTTAAAAACTAACAGATCCTTCATTATTGTTTCCATCAGAGGGATAACTTCTTTGCTTGTACGATGTAATTGAAATAGTCTGATCAGAGAGAGTAATGTACAATCGAAGGAGGAAATGCGTATTTTCCAGACTAGTCCCCGACAGAAAAAAAACATACAGACTTGAGATCTGAGTTCACCCCTCAGAATTTCCCAAGGGTTAAGTTTCATTTTCCCGACATTGCAACTATAGCACCCAACTTTAAATGACGTATGTGATACGACAAAAATGATAAATTATTCCGAACCTCTGATGTTGGTCCCCAAAATTCCCCACTAAGGATTAAAAATTTCGTATGTAGAGCATTTTGCGCCTCTAAACCATACTTTTATTTCAAAAAAATTTAGTTAATTTACGAATTATGAAACAAGTGGTACATTAAATCCCGCTCAAAAAGTCTCAATCCAATAAAATTAAGTGAGCTGAAGAATTATTACGCAATGAAGTGAGTACTCACGCTGTAAACAAGGAAAGACGCGAAATATCTATCTCTGAATGCCCTGGGATCGTGCGATGGTTGCCAGACCGTAGCTGGGCGGTGCGCCGTGCGGCGGGCGAGCGCAAACTCTATCTGCTGGCGGGCGTCACCGCCCGAATTACCTAACTACCCGCGGACGCGCGGGCTGGCGATTTATTGTGGTGTCCCCCAAGGCTCCTGAATGGCCGGATATTTATGACCGTCGCTGACACAGGCGCGTACATTGAATTACGGCCTCGGGGCACCCTGTCCTGTCTCATTCTTATACTGTTAAGGTTGTAATTACCATTTAAATCGAGGTATTGTGATACGATGCGAAATGTATCGCAAGATATCTTCAGATTCGTCCCTTTGTATTTAGAACCAGTTTGTGAGTGTGGATGCGGTAGGGAAAAAATAAAAATGGTTTGAGTTGTGGCAGAAGTTATTTTCAAGTCGACAGAGATACTTAAATTTCATAATTGGAAGTTCGTGTTGTCGTTTATGTATTTGAATAGATTTCGCTAGCAGAGTAGTTAAACGTCGCAATAAAATTGGTTATATCACGTACATGCATTGCCTTAATTAAAATTGCACCGATGTCTTTCCTGTTAATTTAACTTTCGTAATAAATGATCAATGGCCTGCAGGACGTCAACGAGTTTGTGTATTTCATTGAAATACACATTTATGAGAGTTTATATTTTACAAAAAGAACATCCCGACAGGAACAATTCCTTTTTCTTTTCAAATTAGCACATCAAGTTTACGTCTTCAATTTTTTATAAATTGTTTATTCGGTGGTTGAATTATCAATAACACCACTCATTAACTATCACTTTTACGGTAGTGTCTTGATTGAAAGTTTTCTGGCACAGAATATGCTGCGGAAGCCTCAAATTAATTTGATTTATGCGTGCGTCACTGTGCTAATTTACTAACTTAAAAATCAATATTAGATCAAATAATCACATGAAGGCTCGCTGCAAAAATGTACCTAAATATGTTGTGGTGATGAGGTAGTTCCAGAGGGTCTGTAATTGACGTGGGCTCGAGAACCTCCCAACAAAATATATCAAATGGCTGAAAACATGGGCTACTTACGAATGCTACGTCACTGGTCGAGAAGTTCAGAGTCTCGGCTTCAGTTTCTGAAAAGCTAATGTTACAAAATTATACTTTAACAAACAATAAATTATAATCAGCCCAATTTACTTCACGAATATACACTGAGAAAATGTATTGTTTGTTAAAGTAAAATTTTGTAACATTGGCTTTTCAGAAACTGAAGGGGACCTCACAAATCAGGTCGAAACGTCTTAAATATATAGTGATACAACCTCACTGAAATCATCGTTAGCTATTGGAATGTTTGGTTCATCCTATGATCCCTGAATTACTCCCAACGAAATATTTTAAACCCATGGATTAGAATTGAGTTGAATTGAACTGAATTTATGCTGTATTTTATGTGGCGAGACTCAGGCCATGAGGCCTGCTCTTCCGTGTGACCACGCAAATTTCGTTACGCCAGCTAGCAGCCAACTTACTGAGAAAGGAGATATTTCTTGGGCGAGAAACATGAGATTCGAATTTAGCTCAGAGGCGTCATTTAGGCTAAATTCAAATCGCCTGTTTCTCGCCCAAGAAATACCTCCTTTCTGGATTAGAGGTCATTCATTACCGTGAACTCAAGACCCCCTCCCCCAAAGAAAAGTGTTTGAAACGCGGGCTACTTACGCATCTGCGGCCAGACGTCGGTGGTGGAGGAGTTCCAGAGGCTCATGTCGAGCTCCTTGCCCGGGTAGATGATGGTCTCGACGACGGCGGGCGTGGGCGCGGGGTCGGCCTGCAGCAGCGGCAGGAAGGCGCAGCAGTGGTAGGCGTAGGAGAGCACCAGCGTCTGGATGTGCGGGAAGCTCTCCGGCGGGGGGAACTCGCGCAGCGCCGGGTTGTTGAACGCCTTCAGGTGCAGCAGCTGGCCCACGCCCAGCGACGGCAGCTCCGGGAACACGTTGTTGCCCAGGTTCCTGCAACCAGACACGCTCGCACTGTCACCACACGCCATGGGGAAGCCTATAGTCCGATTAAAATAAGTAGACAGTTGAGTGACAGTTGTGTGTGTGACGCAAGGACGCCTCTCCCGATTCAATGGAAGCTGCTGAGACACAGAGTGGAAACGTGTCTAATCAGGTCGCTGAGGTGTAACTGACGAACTGGAAACCTATGAGCAGGGGGGGGGGGCGATAGCTTGTGCCCTCCGAGGCAGTGGCGGCGCGCCGTGGTGGCAGTCGCCAGGTGGAGCCCACAGGCAGGTAGGGATGTGCCCTTAACAGTTAAACTGTTTTTACTTAACAGTTAACTTTCCGTATCTCTTACGCGAAATATCAGTTTTCTTTATCGTGGTATTGGCTGTTATCGGTTGAAATTCATAGTATGTTTTACTGCAGCTAATCAATCGTGTGTGCTGCAAGTGTTCAAATTATAGATTCATTAATAAATAAATGGTCATTATTAAACGTGCGCCACAATACTTTTATATTTGATTGCATACCCTTCAATATGAAGTTTGTACATGAAATTAAATCCATCCTATACGTTTGTTAACTTATTTCTGTCCCATTGCTGCCCAAGTGAGATCCACTAATATTTTCCGAAGTCCGATAAAATAATATGAGTTACGGTCAAATAAATCGCTTTATAATATTTTATATTTAACAGTCATTACCACTTTTGCTATAGGTAAGCGAATACACAGTTTCTCCTTGTCAATATTTTTCGCACTCGCAACTTCACTATGCAAAAGTTGCATAATCGAAAGAATATTTGCAAATATGAACCCGAATCATTGTCATTTTAGTAACATTCTACACTCGTTTTCTACTCATATCAATTACTATTCTTCCTTGGCAGATCATCCACTCTCCTTATTATCCGCTGTTTCTCTCTCCAAACATGTTTGGGGAAGTAGTGCAACCAAGCGCCGTAAGGTAGCTGCACAAGCTTTACGGTGCTACAAACGTTGTTCGTTTTGCCTGGTTTAACTCTTAGCAGTCGCCGCAACTGATTTAACTCTTAGCAGTCGACCATGTTAGGTTGCTGATCATGGGCCTATTATATTTCAGCTGTTATAAATAACTTTTATTACGAGTCGACTGTTATTGCGATAAGTTATTGAAGAAAAGCTGGTAAGCCCATCTCTAGAGGTAGGGCGCTCGGCATAAACATAGGATCCGGCGCTAGGAAATGCCCTCTCACTCAACGCCGCTCGCCGGGCGTCACGTTCTGCGCAAGCGCAGCCGGTATATTCCTAAACTAAAAACATCTCTCTCCAATATCGTTTATCTTTATCCATCATCACGGGGAGTCTACGAGTCATTTCCTGTTTACACGTCGCGGTTCGACTACGTCGTGTCACGTGTAATGCTAGTGAGTCATTCGCGCTGTGACAAGAGCCAGTCGTGATGTGTCAAAATAAAATGGCTGAAGGAAACGAGACGACGTGACGGTCAATGTTTTCAGGTCGATGATTAGTGCTAGTTGATTCATATTTCGCGCAAAATCGCCAGTGACATTCTACTATGCCGGTCCCTATACGACACGACAGTGCGACTCTACCCTGGACGTTTAAACCCGTTAGGGGTCACTAGGTCCAGGGACAAGGCCTTTTGTTGACAAATGTAAAACAAAGAAGTCGTGACGACAAAGTGATCAATATCATTTGACACATTCCCACCCAAAAAAACAAAAGATGTTACACGCAACATAGACCATACTGGGTAGACATGAAATGTTCGCAGCTTATACAGCATTGTGCAAAATGCATATAGGTACATGTTTATGTACTATGCAGCACTATACGTAGTGTTTTTGAAACAATTAGTAATCGGACCCTATTGTGACCTCACTACCTGTCGTGAAAATCGCCAATGCTCTAGAATTTTATAGAATTTATTCTGAGACACCTGTTAATTTTCTGACTGGATTTTCAAAAAGTACGCTGAATTCGGGCCCTACTAGCGGAGAGTGCCGCTAGACAATTTTGGGCCCGGAGCAGCGTAGCTGAAGATTGAAAAAGTTTTGGAAATATATTTTAAATAATATTTTAGAGTAAAAATATTTAGTGATTGAATAATACAATTAAATCATACATTTACACTCACAATTAAACAGTTACACAATTAAATAATTTATTTTATACACATTTACACAATTAAACAATAATTTCTACGGTGAGTTTAAAACGCTAAACAATTTTGTGTTAGTATACTTTTATTTCTTTTCGTTGAGTCCTACCTTATAAGTAATTTCTATAAGACACTATTTAAGATTTAAAAAAAAAAAATTGAACATGTGAAATATCAGACTACTGTCCTGCTACATAAAATTTACGAAAACGATTTTCTCGAGTTCAAATATTACTTTTTCCTTCTTTTACTATTTATCCCTATCAGTCCCATCATCGACCCTCAGGCGATCGCCGGGTCTGTCCGTGACATACTTGGCTTTATTTATTTAGCGGTACGTTTGAAGTAAATCAGCTGCTGGCAGTTTCATCCAATCGGGAGCTTAAATGTCACCACATGACAAATCGCCCCCGAATGGATGAAACCGCCAACAGCTGATTTACTTCAAACGCACGTGTACATAAATCGTACTATAGCGCGGGCGCTGCCAGTAGGAATGCGACAACGATGTCGAAGTTTTCAACATCGATGTATTGGAGCTGATGTTTTTTGAACGTCGATGTTTTGGGCTCGATGTTTTGCTACGTCTTTGATGCATGTTCATTGTTCGTGCATGAACAATACCCCAAATTACAATTTTGTGTAAGCTGAAATATGAAATAATAACAGTGGGTACCACTGTCTAGGTGCTTGCAACAAACGAACGCGGTTTGTCCTACCTTCATCGAGCAGACTAACCATCCTGGAGATGAACAGATGCTTTGTTATTTCCTTCATCTTATATTTTGAACATGGGTCAGCGTTTTCATTTTGTTTTCAGTTACACTTTAATTATAAGTTAATTTGTACGGCAACAGTCATATTAAATTGTTGCGCACGAATTTAATGTTAGAGGTTTCTGAACAAACTTTAAAGCATTGATGTTTAAAAACATCGATAGCTTTTGGCTGCTTTATTATTAACACGGAGGTTTGGCAACATCGATGCCGCTTCACCAATGCGGGTGGGTAGGGGTGGCGAGGCGCGGGAGGCGGGGCAGCGCTGCAGTGCGGAGGGCGGCCACCGGGCGCTGTCATCGCGACGAAGACTGATGGCGCCTTGGCGACCCATTCAGCTGGCGCGGCCCCGGGCAGGGGGCGGAGAGCGAATACTGGGCAATGGGAGCGCGATGAACCGCGCGAGATCAAGAGAGGGGTGGCTGGGGGAACGAACGCGGCGTCATTAGACCAACAGACGAACAGGAATCACACAATTTAAGGAAAGAGTAAAGGGTGCACAACCTTCGGTCTCCTGATAGTATCCTCAATCGGGAAATCAACAACATCCAGTTCAGGGCCGGATCATCTGGCCAGCCCGAGGAACGAAAGCATTCACAACAGTCAGATGCTTCAACCCAACCGCATCAGAACAAGGTAATGTCCTAAGGAAAGTGAGCCAGCGCTAACGACAATGGTAAGTGTAACAACAGATAGACAGCCTCCGGCAGGATCTAACTTACAAAGTCGGCTAAACGAAGCGATCCTAGTCGGCTTAGTTGGCTAAACGAAGAGATTCTAGATTATCTAAGCGACGAAAATAAAATCTTATTTTAAAAAATAACTAATAAAACAATAAAATACTTAGGCTTAAACTTATATACCCGACACAACTGGAAGTAACATGTAGAGGTAAAAACTCAGCAAGCCAAAACTAAACTAATTCAACTACGATCCTTACTTACACCTACGATGCCCAGGCGTGATTTCAAGATATTCAAATTCAAAAAATGCGTGTTGTGTCCTTAATTGCCAATAAAAGACATGGCCAACAATAAAGCTTAGCTTTAACTTCACCACCAGTTAGCTCTTTGACTACTACCTGAAAAACAGAATTTTCTTGTGTTTTATCTCGCCATCACAACGTGCAACCGTTCTCAACACAGGAGTAGGTCGCCATTGTTCAAAATTGTTTTTTTCACATTGTTTTGATGAATTGTTGTTCATTTACTGCATTTTTCATAATATTGATATAAAATCAGATATGAATATAAAAATAAAGCGACACTAATAATCTGCAGCATACTAATTTAAAATGAAAAAAATAAATACTTCTTTAATAATCACTGTCTCCGCACACGTCAACAAAACAATAAGCACACGCGCTACGCGACTTACATGTGAAAGGAAATCGGAGTTCTCTGGGCGGACCGGTATCCAGCAAATTCGCTGGCCTACGCACAACCCGCAGGCACAGTATGCTACTATTGTACGCCCACAAAAGGGTCTTTAGAATGCGGTGCAGAGCGAGGCAGCGCCCGGGAGCGCCTGCCTTGAGACGCGCAAGAGAAAGAGCGAGACATCGCATGGCGCACGGAAATTAGAAAACGCTTGAAACGGAATTATGGCTTGTGCTACGATAATCAAATGTTCATTATACATTTCCAGATGAATAATACCTACCCCATATTAAAGTTGTGACAATAATTTAATGTATTTTATTATTAAGAAATGTATTAAACTAGTATTCATCATATTCATAATCATCAGGGATGGCAGTACCTACCCAAGAAGGCGCCAATGCCTTTGTGCTGGTAAATTGCGAATGTTGGAAGATGAAAATAATTTTTTTCAATAATGTGAGTACCTGGAATTGAGAACTCCAGTAGGAAAGATCTTGCTATCATTAGAGATACCAAAATCTTATGTGAAAAGAGAAATATTGATCGTCGATTAGAATAATGAGGGTTCGCTGTCTTGAAGAAATGCCAAAAAGTTCTTGGTGGGAGTTGAATCTCATCGATGAATAATATATGTGGCATTGACAAATATCTGGAAAAACATGAAGAATGTGATGCATCAGTATGT